GTGTAAAAACACAGCCATCCCAATAAAAGGGACAATAGACCGCCATACAACCCAACATATTAGTCCGAAAAGCAATTAAAACACAGCCATCCCAATAAAAGGGACAATAGACCGCCATACAACCCAACATATTAGTCCGAAAAGCAATTCATGCAAGGAGGGGTAAGAATTTTTTTTTTTTGAGCAGATAGAAATTAGCGTTAGTAGATTAGTAAAGGTTAGGAAAGGGTCAGAAGACCCAGCCATAGGGGGGGTGCACGCCCTTGAGCGCGCTTTTCGCCTCATAGCACCCATAGCGGCTCATCAGAGGGGTTAACTTAGGAACCATTGCTCATGTTAGATCGGGGGAGGGGGAGGGGAGAGAAGGAAGAGGAGGGGGGAGTCGGGTATGGAGTTAGCCAGCCTCACCTGCGTGGTCATAGCCGGTGTCGCTGGAACGTCAGCAGCCGCCATGGAGAACAAGTCTTCGCAGCGACGTATCAGTAGCTCACGGTGTGTGCACAGTGGGTGATGCACCGCAATGCATCCGGCAGAAGCCAGATACCCTTTGTCCTCTCAGCCGATCAGATGTGTTTCGGCGAGAGAAACTGGGGGGAATGCTGTTACGTGGTGGGATGAGAGGCAGCGGACATGCTGTCACAGTAGTGCATCCGTGCGAGAATTCATGCGGGTGCAAACGTATTCCAAAACGTATGCTGTAGCAAGAAGGGGAAAGTGGTTGTGCAGGTGGTGTTTGTATAGTGGAGCTGGCCAAGGTGTGAGTTAAGCGTAACCAGGCAATGACAGGGGGAACGAGTAAAGGTTCCAAAAATGTATGCAGAAGGGTATTGGGCAAGGGTAGGGGTGCTTCATGGAAGGGTATCTGCGGCAGAGGCCAGGGGTAGTATGTGTTTTCCGGATCCATAGCTATAGCAGTCGGCATGTAGGTGCAGAAAGGTGAGTGGGTCTGCAACTGCGTGCGTTGTTTTGCGAAAACAGCGTGCCAACGGGATATCTTGCAGATGCTGGGCTCTAGTTCTAACATCCGTGACGCGTGGTCATCAGTATAGGACAAAGTAGCTTCGTTTTATGCTTCGTCTTGTTTCGCGAGTTCATGTGTAGTTGTCGTGTCTTCTCTTTGTTTCTGGCGGGAAGTACTGGCTATGGGGGCACATGGAATTGTCGTGTTTCGTTTTTGTCCTGTCGGCGTGGGCACTTGTCTTTTGTATATCGCTTGCGTCATTTCGGTGTGGTGCTTTAAGTCGTTGTCGTATTCGTAGGGGTAATCGGTCCGTTTCTGTGAAAGCGTATGATTATTGCACCGGGAACGCGAAAAAAATGCTATGTGCGAGTATTACAGGAACCGAGACGGGCGAGTGTACCCATAACTGAAGCGTAGAGCGCGAATGGTGTGCTGATAAAGGGTGCTTTTGTGTTTCCGATTTGCCGATAGGTGCAGCAGGTTCCCGGAGGAGGTCTGTGTAGCGAACAACAGAGGCAGTTGGATTATCTTAATTTTAGTGGAGTGAATTCATTTATAGCTACCTGCGGATATCTCTGGGAAAAAAACTTATTGGTTTTCTGTTTTCAATATCACTCTGTTGTGTTTAGTTTCAGAGGTTTCCGTATTTATATCAACTATATTTACCGTAACTAAATTCATAAACTAAATTACTAGCTTCTTTAAAAATACATTTTTTATTTATTTATTATTTATTATTTACTTAAAAAATTATAGTTTTATTTGCAGCCATGCAATTTTAACTATTTTTATTACTATTATTATTAGTCATTATTATTAGTATTAATATTATTATTTTAAATTATAAGGGGGAAGAAATCTTAATAATAATAAAAAAAGTGTATGTGTGTGTGTGTGTGTGTGTGTTTATGTGTGTGTATGTGTGTGTGTGTGTGTGTGTGTGTGTCTGTGTGTGTGTGTGTGTGTGTGTGTGTGTGTGTGTGTGTGTGTGTGTGTGTGTGTGTTTGTGCATG